GGTGCATGCCTATAATCCCAGATACTCGGGAGGCTGAGGCAGGAAAATCACTTGAACCAGGGAGGTTGAGGTTACAGTGAGCCAAGATTGCACCATAGCACTCTAGCCTTGGCAACAGAGTTAGATTATCTCAAAAAAAAAAAAAAAAAAACTCTAAATGAACTATTAGCCGGGCATGGCGGTAGGCACCTGTAATCCCAGTTACCTGGAAAGCTGAGGCAGGAGAATCACTTGAACCCAGGAGGTGGAGGTTGCAGTGTGCTGAGATCACACCGCTGCATTCCAGCCTAAGCGGCAAGAGTGAGACTCTGGGCCAGGTGCAGTGGCTCACTCCTATAATCCCAGCACTTTGGAAGGCTGAGGTGGGCAGATCACGAGGTCAGGGGTTTGAGACCCGCCTGGCCAACATGGTGAAATCCCATCTCTACTAAAAATACAAAAATTAGCCAGGTGTGGTGGCACAGGCCTGTAGTCCCAGCTACTCGGGAGGCTGAGGCAGGAGAATCCCTTGAACCTGGGAGTTGGAGGTTGCAGTGAGCCTAGATTGTAGCATTATACTCCAGCCTGGGTGACAGAGTGAGACTCCAACCAAAAAAAAAAAAAAATTAAAACCTAAATGAACTAAAACAGATATCTGCACACCAATGTTCATAGCAGCACTATTCACAATGGCTAAAATATGTAAATAACCCAATGTCCATCAATGGATGAATAAACAAAAGGCAGTGTACACATCAACAATGACATATTATTTAGCCTTTAAAGGGAATAAAATTCTGGTAACATGCTATAACATAAATGAAGCTAGAAATAATTATGCTAAGTGAAATAAGCCAGATACAAATGGATGAGGTACCTAGAAGAGTTAAATTCATAGTGGCAGGAAGTGGAATTGTGGTCACTGGGGCTGCAGACGAGCAGAGGAATGTAGAGGTATTGTTTAATTAGTACAGAGTTTAGTTGTAATGATTGTACAACAATGTGAATACACTTAATGCCACTGGACTGTACACTTAAAAATAGTAAAAATAGGCTGGGCATGGTGGCTCACGCCTGTAATCCCAGCACTTT